GTATATTTGGATATATCTAATTAGTAATATCCGTGTGGCTCTGTTCAAATATGATAACAATATTATATAGGAGAATTATATCAGAATAAACAAGTTTAAAATAACAAGTTGGTTGAAATTATCGTGTTAATTGTACTTATCTCTGAACTCATTACTTCATCAAATTATTTTTTTTTAAATTATGACTCCGGGAATAAGAACTACAAATAATTATATTTTAATTACATTTTTATGGTTCGGTTAAGAATAAAAAGAAAAATTTTTATTTTATTATTTTTAAAAATGAATATTTTTGACTGTGCAGTGCTGAAATAAGTCTTCTGGTTAAAAAATTTTTCACAAACAAAAAAAAAATCAGCACATATCATCATAGTAAAAACAAAATATTATAATATTATGTAATCGAAAATGTATACAGAGCAGTTCATAGATTTGTCGAATTTACATAATCTCTAATTCTCGTCCTTCGAGCGGGATTTACATATAACTTAAATTGACCGGCGAGTGATTCCGTAATATTTATTAAATAATTATAAAATAAGTAGTCGATGTGTTAAACTAATGTATGGTAGTAACAAGTTACGTACGGACAGAATATACAAAAATCATTTTCGGGACGATATCTTAAGAGTTCCGGCGATCGTCATAACCGCACACTTGCAAACACTTTCAAAAAAGGTCGTCGTTCAAAACCACACACTTTTATTTATATTTTTCTCAAAATGATACAATACCGCACATATTTACTTTTTGTCCTATTGAACGTGGTTTTGCCTAACAAATTGAAGGTAATTTTCGATTAAAATTGTCTGAGTGAGCACAGCGTGCGAGTGACCATATTGGCTCTAATTCCACCTGTACTATCAATCAAATATGTGCGGTTTTGAACGATGTAAAATGTGCGCTTATGAACGGTAAGTGTGCGGTTTTGAATGACGCCTCAATGTTCATATCACTTGGTCCCATGCAGTGGCGTCATTTTAGGGAAATGTTTTCAAATTGACAACTTCAATGAATAATTGTTTTGAAGGTGTTTAACTCAGTGCCTGAAAATATGGGTTTATAAAATATTTGCTTAATATTATTTCAAATTTTTATCAGAATATTATATTATTTTTTGACTCCTTCACTGGTTCACGGATAAAGAAATACGCAGTACCTAATATTTGGATAAAAAAAAAAAACGGCCAATCGCAGATTGTAGGTATCAGTAGTTATTGCATTAGTTCGAAAAATTTGTATTATTTTGAAACGAATCTATTTTAATTTGCAATCATGTCACTTAAATTAGTTAAAATATAATAAAAAAAATGTTGGTATAATATAATAAGTTGTATTTGACTGTATTTACATTTTTTTACCATATATTATAATCTGTGAAGTTTAAAAATAATGAAATTCTTCACTCTTTTGTTCTTTAACCGATGTCATGTATTAAATATAAATTATTATTGCTTTTAATTTAAACAGTTCGGTTTATCTGTTAAATTGCTTACCAATTGTAAATTCCATTCCCAATTTTTTCTGTATGGTAATATTAATAAATTACATTGTAACTATAGTTAAGAACGCAATACTACAGCCGTTATACATAGTCATATACTACTGCAACTTGCAAATTTAAAATACGAGTATTATGATTATTACCTACCAAATATTTTACATTAACAATTAGTATTTCAAAGTTAAAAGCAATAGATGATCGTGTTTAAAAGTAATACTTGTATACTTCATTTATTTATTATGAAATATACGGACAAGCCCTTTATAAAATAGTATTATTATTGAATATAAAGAGAGAGAGAAAAAAGGTACAATTAAATAGCAGTTAAAACTTGGTACTCTGCTATCGTACTTAATTATTCAATTTTTATAAAATTGTATTTTATTCGTGATGAGTTTGGGTTATCGTTGTATTATTTTAAAAAAGTCGAAATATTTTGGTTTTACAAATGTATAAAATAATACAACCTATATTTTTTGTTCTTATAAATGTTATAAATAATATGTTCTTATAAAATATCATTCGATGAAGAAAAAAATTGAATAGTGTAAGTTAATTAATTTCATACAAATATTTGTTCGACACATAATTATATTGTATTGCGAATGTGTTTTTCTGTAATAGATTTAGGGCAAAAGCCGTTTTGAACAAATTTGAGGACCCTTTCGGCACAATGAATATTTATTTATACAGTCATTTATTGGACCAGCCTTATTTAGTTTTTACTGTCTTTGACAAACTTAAAAATTCTGCACATTATTTTTATCAATTTTACACTATATACGACGTATCTTATCAATAGTTTTTAAAATAAAAAAAATAATTAAATATATGTTAAACCATTTACCTAATAATAATTTATAAAAATCATTAGTTATTTCACATTAATGAATAATAATTAATTAATAAATTTGTATTTGTTTAAATATGAGCCACTTTAGAGTTTTGTCGAATTATCTTCAAACTATAATGTTATTTAATTAATTATTAGTTGTTATTATAGTGTTCCGTATAATATTTTAGAAGTATGTTTTACGAATGTAAAATGTGTCTAAATCTTAACAGGTTACCAAAAACTATACTTCAAAAAGGCCGAAGTTTTAAAAATGAGTTTAAACATTCCCGGTCCTGAAATCCTTGCCCAAGTTGTGTTATTTTTTCTTAAGAAAATATTTCACAAAATGTTCAATATTAACAGCCGTACTTTAAAATATGTGAATTTTATCAATAAACTTTAAAATTAAGAAAACTTAAAAACACTGTCCGTTGAATATTTTTCAATACGCATGAGTTACTACAAGATCATTTTAGAACGATTTTATATTGTCTGAATAAAAAAAAAAAATAAAAATAAAATTTAAACAAAATCTTTGTAATATTTAGTTAATCTCTGGTTCGCGGTCAAAGAATCACTATCTGTAAATTATCTTAATTTATGTCAGTGATGATGATGTATTAAAGTTGTACTAAAATTATTTTCGTAATATATAATTTAAAATTTAAAAAGACTAATGAACAAACAAACAAATTTACTGTAATAGGTACTACGACAGAACTGATGACCAAGTGTTATCACGCAGCTCTGGTGTGCATATTGGCGCACCTGTTTCACCAGTTCAACCGACGGTCATCAACAGGTTGTCGAATTGGGTAGCTTTTTTAAAGTAGAAGATAGTAACCACGCCCATATTCATTGGAAGCACCGTACTACCACGATGCCATACCCAAAATGAAACACTTTTACGTTCATGATGTTTACAGTACCAATATCAATACATTTTAGCTTAGTTTATTTATATATGTAAATAGCATAACTGAACCTATCTATTATTTTTTTTAAATGTCCAGTTATTCTACCTGCTCATTAACGAAATTTCATATTGTGTTCTATTGAGAAAATATATTTTCTCGCTTTTAATAAAACGCTATTGAGAAATGTAAAAAACGCCATTATGGAGATAGATCTATTATGCTGGACCATTTATTTTGAACACCTATTAAATCTTATCCGGAAACTAGTATAGATTTTACATGCATAATTTCATTTTTCCCGAACAAATAATCAGATAAAATTTTCCGATATCGAGCGTGTTGTCTTATTAAATATCTATATGACTAATAATTATATAAATATACGTGTATCACTTGTGTATATATTTGGTAGAATTTAAAGCTTTTAAAACACTCTTATCCATTTTCCAGACTAAAGAAACGGAGAGATGGGATCAGACTTTCCAACTAGTTTTGAAGAAGCTTATTGGTATACCATTAAGAAAGTCATATGTGAAATGTGATTAAATTTCAATAAAAATTGAAAATTATGCATTAAAAATAGCGCTCCATAATCTATGGATATGAATCTACGCATATGTTATTCATTCGTTTTGTGCCATAATAGTAAGTTAATTTAGTTAAAATAAAAGGAAATTATTAACATTTCAAGAATTCACGGAATCGTATTTCTTATAAGTGTATTAGTATTTATATTCCATGTATTAGTTGTGAGGTGCCAGTAGTGTATCCATGCATAAAAGTGATGTTCATTATAGCTATTGGTTCTGTAAAACATTAAAACTTAAAAACCATAAGACGTGTATTGTACGCTGTTTATGAGATATGTAGGTACGTGGTATTTTCGACTCTATTATTGTATTCAAATAGGTACCTTGTTGGTTTAACTTTAAATTAGAAATAATACCATTAAAGTAGAAAATGATTACGTATATTTAAGTATACTATTTAAATATATATAAGTACCTATATGTAAAAATGTATTTGAAAGTCTAAATTAGTTGTTTAATTTGCTACGAATGTACACACCAAAACTAATTAACTATATAACAAGCAATATTAGCTAGTGAAATAAATACAACGATGCTAATGGAAAAAAGGTAAAATACCAAAGCTTCTTCTGTTTAGTGTTTTTTTTTACGAATTTTAAGATAGAAATCCATTCAAATTTATTTTATTAAAAAAAAAATAATAATAACAACAATCGTATAGAATTAATTGAGAATTCGCCTTGTTGATACGAAAATACGACAAAACCAAACATTAATAAATACATAGTGCATGTACATGTACATTAGACAATTTTATCGATTCAAGGATAACTTAGCTTAGTGAGGTAAAAACGCTAACCAGCATTCTCTGTATTTACTGTAAATAAATCAACAAACCTTTAAACGACAAAATATGTAGATAATTAATAAACTATCCCTTGCTGATAAACAGTATTAATTGGGTTACATAAGTTCTGGGGTAGTAACGTTAATATAGAATCCCCACTACTGTGTTCAAATAAGAATAAAATGACATAGATTTGTGTAATAGTAATATTATAACCATTATAATTTAGTGGGATTACGGTATTATTTCGTATATATTAATTCAGTTACAATCTCACGTCGCACACTGAACGGTTGTGTCGTTGTGTAGCACACACAGATAAGAGTGTCTTATTTTTATTATTATTTTTCGTTTTATATTATTCGTCATGTCGGACTGTAATAGCTGTTGTAGTAACATTATAAAAGCTTACGCGATATCTTGTGGAGATTGCAATCTCACCTGTAACCGCAAATGTCAAAAATGCATAAAAGAAGATATGGAATATTTAAATGGTATTCTTTGGAGATGCAGGAAGTGCACTGCCACCGCGAAAAGAATCTCACTACAGCAGTTCAATAAGCAAACTAATTTCAGAAACGTTGACCTAATCGACATTAGAAATATCCTTATTGAATTAAAAGGTAACATTCAATCGTTTAAAGAAGAAACTGGATTCATCTTTGATGATATGCGTGATAAATTCAATGTTATTGACAATATACTTGAATTTTCTGGAAATTCGGCAATGAAATCACGCATTCAATTTTTGGAAAACAAAATTGAAAATTTAGAACGTCGATATATTGCTAACGACATTTTTATTGATGGTGTGCCCGAACTCAAATTGGAAAACTGTAATAAACTTGTAAAACGAATTGGGACGCAGTTAAATACTAAAATAACTGACAGCTATGCGCATAGAATGGACCCACGACAAAATAATAACTGGTTCAGAAAAATATTTGTGAGTTTTACAAACCATCAAAATAAGACTAAAGGTTATAACGCATGTAAAGTAATAAAAAACTTGTTCACGAAAAGAATCGATATTCATCCCGATACACAAATCTATAAAAGAAAGAATCTAACCACAAAAAGTAGCCACTTATTCAAGGAAGCTAGATGCCAAGGAAAACAATACAATTATAAAGTCATCTGGATAAAGAATGGTTTAATTTTTCGTCGTAAAAATGAACCAGAAAAAATTATCCATGGATTCAATGAAGAGGTAATTCAAAACTTAAAAAAACGCTCTAATGATTTAAATTTTAAACTAATACTCCATAATTCGCTTTATTTGTTCATTATCTTATTATGTTTGTTTTAAATATTAACAATTATAATACTATTGTACATTTAAGTGAAATCATATGTTGATATTTTTTTTGTAAAATGGGCTTATACCACTAAAACACTTTTTTTCAGGAAGTAAAAAACTATTTTGTAAAAAAATAGCAAAACAAATGTTTATCATGGAAAACAATAAAATTACTCGTACACATAATACCTTATACACAAATCATACATGCATTGAATAAGGTATAAACCCTTTTAACAAACCATTGTTGATTTAATTATATTTTAGAAGGGCACCTGGATATCTTTTAGTTGTTATTACCAACTTAATTTTCTGTATTTAAATATGCCCTTTTACCAGTTTATGCTCCTAATTTTTCTGATTTTTTTATACTAAAAACGTATTTTTTGGTATCGATCATGTTTAGGTATATACAATTAATTTAAAGAAGTCATTATTATTATTTTAAAATCAAATTAAATTGTCAATCACCAATATTAGTTATAGTTGTATGAGTTCACAATATTTTTGTTGTTAAAGGAAATACCTACTACTTCATTCAAAAATGTAATATATTAACAAAAAATTGAGGTAATGGACAATTAGTTTGTGATTGTTTTTTAAAAATTTTATTCGCTACATCCTAATTACTGTAACAATTTCGCACTTTCGCAAGTGTGAATGAACAAAAACACAGAAAATACAAATACCTATTTCTCGGTTTCCCAGGGAAAAAAACGTAGGATAAACAGGAATTTTTATAGCATCAACGGTTTCATTATTTTAAATTTTATATTTTATTGTAATTCTGTTAAAGAAAACATAGAGATCTTAAATTTGCACAGAATACTTAAATTAGTACTTCATATATTTATTTATAAACAGATATTGATAGACATTTTTCATTTTCTTGTATTTTTTTTTTTAGTTTTTATTTAGTTTAATGTGGATACAATGGTACTAAGAAAGTAGAAGGTACTTTTTTTATTAGAGTGTTTTAAAATAAAATTTTGACCAAAATCGTAAAAATTAAAAGCGAGTGCGTCGATGTCGACCGTCACTGGCAGATATATGAACGCTTAGCGATCGAAGCCAAACAAGTGATTCACGGTGGACTGGGAAACGACCAGTGTGTAATCAGCGGTAGCGTGTAGAACTATATATCGCCGACCTTGAACAGACTAATTTAAGTAGTACCTAAAGTAGTATATAAGAAAGTACTGGGAAACATTCTCAAGTTTTATAACTTTTTTTAGGTACACTATATTAGTGACGTAAAAGTTCATCCAATATATATTAAACATTTTAGTGGGGAAGGGGGGACCTGTTACTTTTCCAAAGAAAGATCGTTGCGAATTACGATTGAACCGTGCAATTATTTTTTTTTTGTAAAAACTATTTCAATCATATAAATGTTATTTATAATTTTTTGTATATCATTATGGAATGGCGAATTATGACGAACTTTAATTGTTCAAAACAATATTGTTTTGCATTTACGATGCGTTATATCCATATCAAGTACCTGTGTTGATAAAATTTTAAATCTATTTTTAAATAAAGTTCATGAATAACGAAAGCGTGAGCCTCTCATATCCCTCCAATAATCTGGTAGTCAGTAGTCCTATACGTATAAATAATTGACATACAAATTTACATGGATATTTTGAAACTCTTTCGCGTACCCTCAGATAATTTGAAGCGTGTGCAGAGAGAGGTTAAGGGTTATATTCTTCCAGCCATTAATTTAAAAACAAAATAACTATGAGTATTTATTTCGTTTTTTTTTTATCTTGAAATCATACATTTCAGCCAAGTTTCAAGGAAAAAAGTTTTATTTATCGAATACAAAATTGTTTTATCAATTGTTTTATCCGGTTTTTAAATTCATATAATTAAGTTAGATATCATAGAAAAAGATACTACGATTTATTCATAAGCCATGATTATAATTTACTGAATTTCCTACCGTTGAAAATTCCTACACATGCCAATGGATAAACCACTTATGTTTGTATCATGCTATAAAACAAATATTGTTAACGTTAGAAAGATGTTTATTCAATAAATTCATGTGTTTATTTTAGTTTCGGTTTCAAAATTACATTTTTAAATACATATAGATAGGTTAGGTTGGCACCACGTATGATGATTAAAATTAACAGGTATACTCAGTAAGAATATGTTAGATACAATAATAAGTAATTAAACGCTTTAGAAATATGTATAATCGAACTTCGCTAAGAATTGTTTTCCATTTGGAATTGTTTTCGTTGCGTACAGATACAAATAAAATAACTTTATGCATATTCAAAAAGTAGGATTACTTTCCAAACTTCTCATCTATAACAGTGACACGCCCATCCCCAGTAATAGCTCATTTTTCATTCTTAGGAATCCTGTTGTCATCATCATCACATATTCGCGTACAATGATACCTTTTTTTTCCGAAATATATTTTCATTGAAAATAAACGGAAAGAAAATAATTTAGCAGAATCGTATAACAATCCGAAACGATGCATATTTTAATTGAAATACATTTTCTTATTAATGAAAACCTATTTTATATTAAACATATTTTATCCGAAAATAAAATATTAAAAAATAACGTAGTCGAAACGTACACTTTTCTAATGAAAATGTTACATTATTTACAAAGATACATGCACCTAATTTATCTTCGAATTTTTTTATTAGTTATTACACTCATGTCATTTAGTTAGGAAAATTGCAATTAGGTACAGAAAAAAAAAAAAAAATGCCATAAATTGTCTTAAGCCGATGTTCCCTAAAATCAGAGTTCTTACATTTTTGTAAAATTAAAATTGTCGAACGTTTTCGCGGATAAATCACGAGCGGTCCTATTCGTCTTGTACCCGGTGTCGAGCAGCCAGAGCAGGTTTACAATACGTACGCGAAAAACGTAAAAAACAATAAGCGAGTTACAGCGAGTGGCCGCGCGGTGCGGTTGAGCACATTGCCATTATCTGTTGATCAGCTGTCGTCTACTTAGTCCGCGCCGACAAGTCGTACCGGCGACGACGGTGTACTAAGCTGCGCGCACCGTGTTCTTACGCTGCGCACGCCACTACTGTCGGCACGCACGACAACAGCATAAAAGACGATCTCTGGCACTCGTGTCCGCAGTCGTGTTAGAAGAACACGTCGGGTCCGGTGTGCGCGCGCGTGTCGTAAATGCGTCGAATAAAAACAGAATATCAATATTAATACGTATTATTGTTGTTGTCGTATTTCTTCGCGATCCGAGCTGCACGGTCGTCGGGGTTTTTCTTCGACCCCCTCCCCCTACCCCTCCCTTGTAATAGCTCCGTCCAGATCGACAAACGGGTATAACGATAATAATAATAATTGGTCGTAATCGTTATTTAGTATTAATATTATTTTTATTCGTTTTGCGATTTTCGAATATTGCTGTTTTTTAAATTTTTCTCGCGGTCCGTCGCCGGGACTAACCGGCGAGAATAACAATCACCTGGCGGTTATCTCCGGCCATAGCGGTTACGGTTACCCGACCGATCAGTGACCGTCGTCTCCTCGCGCTTGCCGTTACGCATGTATGTGCAAAGAACTCGGATTTTCGAACCGCCTCAAGGTGCCTCAGTCGCGGGCAGTATGCCGTCGCAGCCGCCGATCGTTCGTTCGAGAGGAATGTTCGCGCACAAAAAGGTCGGTAAACACAAACAAACATTGCATATTTGTATTAATTTTAGTTTGTGTGTGGTTTATTTTTTATGTTTCGTATCTGAAAACGAATACTATAACGGAAATTTTGCTCAGATCTGTTATAGGAACTTTCTTATAGCATTTCCCATTGAGGAGGTCATTTTTTAATTTCCTTTGAAGTTTTTCTAATAAATGGGATAAATAGCCAATTGTTTGCATAATATTTTTAGATTTCTGGGTCATATTATAGTAATACGACCAATAATACTGTGCTCAGAATCGTTTTTAATTAGCAATGGTCTATCGATGGATACGGACAAAACTTAAATCACTCTATATATTCTGTTTTTCGACTTTCCTCCTAAAATAATGGTACACCCATCAGTTATATCGGTATTTTTTTTTATCATAATTTTCGATTGGTCACGCCAAAAATAATTTTTCAGTAACTTTTACGTATATTGTACAAGCAAACACACACACACACACACTTTTGGAACGAAGACGCGTGACAAAATCTCATTTACAGAGATCGTACCTACGTACTATTGTCGATGTTAGTATTCCGCGTATGTGTCGTTTCGATGGATGTTCAATTTGTTTCGCGTGTGTAAAAACAATATATAAATTGTTATTAAAACACTTGGATTACTGCAGACATAGAATATTGTGTTAAAAAAAAAAATTAGAAAATAAAACGATTTTCAATTACCTAGTTATGTGTCTGCGAACGTGTCGTCGATACATATGCGCGCGCATAGGTATACTAATCAAGTCCGGCCAGATACTTCTCGGTTCGTTAACCTCTAACCCATACAAGATCTCGATATTTACGCCCGTTTTTTTTTTTTTTTATGTATCACAGTAGTGTGATTGGATCGCTTATTTTGTAAACCCTCCCTAAACGCCAAAACATAAAAATATAGCTTGATACTGTTAACGGGCGTGCTACTATTTTAGGAGAGTAGATAAGGTAATTTGATTTATATCTGTGCGCAACGATACACCATTGCTAACGAAAAATTCTGAGTGAATTTTAGTTGTACATGTTTTGAAATGGCATAATTTTTACGATTTTGGTCAAAATTTGAATTTAAAACGGTTTTTTTAAAAACTATTTTATTGACCATTATGTACAAATTATGATTAACCTCATATAAAATAGTAAAGAAATTCCGCTCGGCCAAACAATTTTAACCACGTTAAATGAATTAAGAACTAATAATAAAACTCAATAAAATAAAATAGGAATATATCCTATGAACATTTCAGATCTCTACGAATATTTTAACCGAATTACAACAAAAGGAAATCTATTGAAACCGTCATTTTCATAAACGTACACAGGTTTCCCAGTTATCGAAAAAATTGCAATGAAAACAATATAACGGCATTAGTTAGACAACATTTTCTTTCAGAAAAGATGCTATATAAACAATTTGGAGCAACATTTCTGGTAGAAAATAAAATTGAAATAATCAAAAATAATAAAACTCGTATCTGTTTTTCCTATGTATTTGTTTTCGATTATTATGAAAACTGCTAGGAAAGTAAAAAAAAATGAACTTCCCAAAGAACCAACCATCATCTCATCTATACCTGGATTGATAATGTCTATTTATTGGAGAGTTTTAGCCATTTTAGGTACTTGCCGTTTCTTATTTTGACGAGTTTGACCAAGTGTACGGGTCGATACTTTTTTTTTCAGGCAGGTAGGTTCCGTAACATTTCATTTATAGCGGTATTTACTTATAATAATTATTTTCGATGAAACTTGTTTTTTCTCTTTGGTTTTGGGAATATGTTCATCCGAGGCACCACCACCGAGTTAAGATAATGTATGTATTATTCTACATTAAAAAAAAAAGAAAAAATAAACTGGTTAGATTTTTTTCTTTATAATATTACCTATTATTTGGTTTGTCATCGTTCAACGTCCGATGGATTTTATTCTGGTTGCATATGCGGAACATTACGGCTGTCGTATATTCATAATATCGTGAATCGGAGACGACCTTGTGCGGTATTCAGACAATATAAATTCATATAATACTCATGATAAATATTATAGGTAGATAGCTGACATAATATTGTCACATGAAGATCTCTCCGTTTTAAATTGTACATAGAATATAACGTACAACGTTAGGGACAATATCACCTGTGAATATGCGGCAATAATGACAACATAACTGCAGAAAAAAAAAAATGGGTCGATATCTTGTTGCCAAGCTGACTTAAGACTCGACAAAAAATTAAAAAAAATAAAAATATTGAGAAAACTACAAGGAAAATCAAAAAGTAACCTCCTCAATGCACCATTAAAAATGTTAAAAGAAAGTTCCCATAAAGTTTTTTATCAGAGCAAAATTTTTTGTAAAAGTGTTATTTACAGACATATAAAAATACATGGTTAAACTAATTAGGTACTTCATTACTTCGTTCAGAATTTAAAAATTGTTTGGAAA